CTCTCTCTCTCTCCTCTTTGTGTTTCTCATGAATAAAGTCTTTTAAAAAAATTTAAAAAAATAGTACATTTTATCCTCTGCACATTTTACCACAATAAAAAAATTAAAAATGAAAAAATGTATTTAGAGAACTATAAGTTTTAGAAAGCAATAAAGTCCTTCCAGCTTTAGCTACTGACAGTCAAGCTAGAATTTAATTCCCAAAGGGGAATCCCGAGGCTACACAGAAAACATATCCAATCCTTTCCCTTTGCCACAAATTACGCCAATAAATTAAATCTGCAGAGTCCGGCAGCCTACAGGAACAGCGGCTTTTGTTTCTGTTTGAGAGTTGGTCTCCCCAGTCTTTTGGTCTGATGGCTAGTGCCTGCCTGGAATGCTTTATCCGACCAGCAAGTGTTTCCACCTACATCAGAGTACCTTATGTCCTGTGGCAGACCGTAGAGCTAACTGTGTATCCCCAAAATTACAACCCTCTTTTAGAGACTCCAGGGAAAGGCCCCTGTTCATGCAGCATCCCAGGATCTGGATAAATGGATGAGCTATAGTTTTAAGTTGGTATCTGGCGCAAATGAGGCACAATACCAATTGGAGAGCCAAGCGGATGGTCCAGCCCAGGGACTTAAGTCCTGCAAAGGAGAACAACTGTAAGCTCTGAAGATGCAGCCTAAGCTGCACACCATCCAGGACTAGGTCAGGAATGTGGGGTAGGAGGCAGGGTGGAGGTGCAATTTTCAGTATCAATCACAATTTTCAGTATCAAGCCATCAATTAAGAATACTCTAATCTGGGCAGCCTCAGTGGCTCAGAGGTTTAGCGCCGCCTTCAGCCCAGGGTGTGATCCTGGGGACCTGGGATGGAGTCCCATGTTGGGTGGGCTCCCTGCCTGGGACCTGCTTCTCCCTCTGCCTGTGTCTCTGCTTCTCTCTCTGTGTGTCTCTCATGAATAAATAAATAAAATCTTAAATAAAAAAAAAAAGAATACTCCAACCTATTAGCTTAGCAGACATGGAGCGTTTCCTATACCTATAATAGATGTCCAAGTGAAAGAGGAAAAAATGTGAATTATTAGCATAGAATGGACCCAGTTCGAGAGGACATCTGGACTTGAAGTACCATATCAGTTATTTCTTCCCTTGTACACACCGATCAATGTTGGCATTTTGAAAATAATTTTTAAGGTTTTCCCTTTACAAGGATGCCTGGGTGGCTCAGTGACTGACTGTCTGCCTTTGGCTCAGTGGTTGAACATCTGCCTTTGGCTCAGGTCTCAATTCTGGGGTCCTGGGATTGAGTCCTGCATCAGGCTCCCCCTATGGAGCTTGCTTCTCCCTCTGCCTATGTCTCTGCCTCTCTCTCTCTGTATTTCTCATGAATAAATAAATAAAAATATTTTCAAAAAGTTTTCCCTTTACAATATAATTTACATTCTTCCATATTTGCTTCTGTTTTACAATAGCAGGTTACAGAGGCATCTGGCAGCCATCAAAATATTTTGAAGACTTTTCATAAAACAGGAAAACATTCTTAATGTTAAGTGAACGAAACAAGATATGTAATCATCTGTGTCATAAAATGGCAATTTCATTTCAGGAATATTCAATTTATATGTGCTTGGAAAAGCTTTCTCGGGGTTGTGGACCACAGGTTTTCTACAGGTATTTGGTATTTTCTAAGTATTTAACAAAGTACATATATCACTATAAAAATAACTTTAAAATATATACAGAGAAGAATCAAGACCAAGCAGTTTCTAAAATCTTTCAGAAACACTCTCACTCATGATATTAAATCTCCTTCAGCCTTTCCCAAGTAGGTGGGACTTGTACTTGAATGAACATGAACTTCTATCATTTCCACCCCGACCCTCAGTTTATTATTATTATTTTTAAAGATTTCATTTATTTATTCATGACAGAGAGAGAGAATCCCACATCGGGCTCCCGGTGCATGGAGCCTGCTTCTCCCTCTGCCTGTGTCTCTGCCTCTCTCTCTCTCTCTCTGTGACTATCATAAATAAATAAAAATCAAAAAAAAAAAAAAAAAAGAGAGAGAGAGAGAGAGGAGAGCTCCACTGCATTAAGGATGCACATGTCCTAACTTACACCTTCAACCAGAACCAGGTCTTGTTTTAGGGTCAGAGACCAGACAATTGACCAATGCTTGTTTTCAGAACAGGGGTTTGGGAGTTTAAGTGTGAGGTCTGATATAGAAGAGGAAATGTGGAAGCAAGAAAGACTGAGAAAGTTAAATCACATCCACAATCTTGGCAGTCTCCACCAACTCACAGATGCTTCATATTTAAAGGATGCATGCTGAAACAAACCGGTGTGGGGGCCTCAAACTGGAGACCCCATCATTTTCAAAATTCATCTAAATTCTAGCCTTTCTTATAATAACAACTCATACAAAAATGGTCCTATGACCTAGCTCCAAATACCTTGTGTTTCTCTCCATAATTGCTCTGATTCCTGCCAATATGCACACATTGGCATTTTGTACACTCCCTTAAATACATGTAGTCCATACTGGTATTATTAATGGCAACTCCAACAAAATTGAAGGCTAATGAATTCCTTTTTTTTAAATAAATTAATTTTTATTGGTGTTCAATTAGCTAATGAATTCCTGATTAAATTCCATATATTAAAAGCCTGGAGTTTTTGACTCTTCACTGTTCCTGGGAACCAGAGTAGATTTGTTTTAGGACCCACGAGATGTGGGAAGAAAGGACACTGCAGGTGTGCAAATCAAGCCCCCTGCTTAAGGGTGACAGCTTACTCCCTAGTGATCCTGGTCATAGTCAGCCTACTCATAGGGACCTCAGGGTCCTCATCTAAGAGATATCAAATGTAGAGTCTTTACTCTCCTGTCAAGAAATTACCGAAATATGTATAATCTTGATTAAGTCATTACAATTTACTTCACTGAATCACCATATAGCTCCTGGGTCACCTGACTTTAATACAGTTGAAGAATATTATAATGGTGGACTTGTCTCCAAAGCTACTCCATTCAGCAGAGTGTCCACCTTTTCTAAGAATTCAGAGCACTAAATTTGCTTTATCGCTTAGTTTAGAGATCAAGTAAGAATTTTTCCCCTTCAGAATGAGTTTTGAAAATGAAGCTGGATCCATGAAAAAATATAGTTTATTTTTCTAAAGTCCTAAAAATAGGATCCAGGTCATATTCTGAACTCTAAAGACATATATCCAAGATACAACACTATTTATTCTAGGTTTAAAAACTCTCCAATTTAGGTTCTTTGAAATCATCTCATGGGCCCTAGAATACACTTGAAGCTGTGGGTCATCCAACCCAAACCCACCTGGGGCAAGAGGGGCAGCTCACCCATGGTCTCACTGCTGGCCAGTGGCAGGATCCCTGTTCAGGATTCCTAGCCCAGAGAGACAGACAGCAAGGCAGTGCTTTCCTCATAATGATACCTGATGAGACCAATGTGCCAGCTTTCTGTCTGTCTCTTTAGACCTTTACACTGCTCCTTGGTTATTATTAAATGGTGGTCTTCTCTCATCAGAAGCTGTGTCTATAGCACGGCAATACCTCTGTGGTTTGTAGCTGATGCAGAAAAGAATGTAGTTCAATCTCCTGAGTGGTCTCAGCCACTGGCTGAGAATGGCAGCCTGAGAGACCCAGCCAGAGTTTAAACCAATCAATGGAAAATGTGAAAGCTGTGTTCTTTGCTTTGCTGCTAACCAAGCCCACACCTTGGAAAAAAAATATCAAAAAAACCACGTGCATTTTGTGGAAGTGTGGACACACTAAACTCTAACTGGAGTTGTAAGCCTTGTGGTATCTCTGAGGCAGTTTTCTGAAAAGGAAACATAAAATGATTCACCAAAAGACATGACACTGTCTGGGACTGCCCCAAATATCAGGCCAGAGAAAGTGAAAACGTAGCAGACCAAAGAGGGCTCCACTCGGGAAGGCACTTGCTCCAATGGCATGGCTTTGACCTCATTTTGAGCTTTTAGTGACCACAGGCTCACTGAACTCTACGGTTGTACATTCAAGGAGGCTCTGACTCAAACACAAACAAAACAAAAAACCCAAACCCCTCCTGGCTAAAGAGGAGAGGAATAAAAAAGGGATGGGGGAGAAGCAGCAGCAGGCTCACTGTCTACTGTACTCTGAAAATACAATGACTCAATCCCAGGGACAATGGATTCTTCCAGCTATACATGCTGACTTGGCTTAGCCCTGTCACCCCTGTAGCACATTCAGCTGGCCCCTGTCACAACAAAGTAGAACATGGAGACAGGGACCCAATTGGCTGAAGGTTTGTCTCCTTTCCCCAGACTTTGGACTCTACATCTCTTGCCCACCCCAACAGGTATGAGGGCTATCTCAGCACCATGATCTGCAGAAGCTGGGGGTACTGGGGGGGACAAGTGGGCGAGGGGGGATAAAGCAAATGAAAGGGATGGGGATGTTTTCAAAACTCCATGCCCAGGGGTGATTTAGATATCTCCTCACACCAGGTAAGAAACACTGTTCCTACTCACTGGGAGGGCTCTTGAGTAAAGCGGGCCTGATATGACTTGTAGGTCGGGTGGCAAGTAATTCCCCAGAACCCATCTGATAATCAACAGTCCCAGGGGGGCCAAGATCAGAGTAAAAGAGATCAACAATATAGTCAGCTATTAATCTACACTCTAAATGCACCAGGGCAGTTGCTAACACTGAAAACAAACAAACAAAAAAGCCTCTGTCTTTTAACTTATGAGGTTTTTGCTTTTGAATCAGCAATAACATAACAACAATAAGAAAAGGAAGAGGGGATCCCTGAGTGGCTCAGTGGCTTGGCGCCTGCCTTCGGCCCAGGGCGTGATCCTGGAGCCCCGAGATTGAGTCCCATGTCGGGCTTCCTGCATGGAGCCTGCTTCTCCCTCTGCCTGTGTCTCTGCCTCTCTCTCTCTGTGTCTCTCATGAATAAATAAATAAAATCTTAAAAAAGAAAAGGAAGAAAGAGCACGTACCTGAAGGAAGCAATTATTGCTGTAACTTCGTCATCTGGATAAAACTGAGTAATTGCATGATGTGCCCCAAGCAACTCCTTCCCATCTTTCCACCAGGAAATAACTGCAATGTCCTGGTACATGTTAGGTATATTGATGGAGCAATTAAATTTGACATCTTTATGTTCAGAAAGTATTATGTGGCCAATTGTATGATTAAATGCAAGAGGCGGTAGGAGTTTTGATCCAGCAGAGGTCACCCCAGGATGAGCTGCATTTTCTGTATGGGCTCGTCCAGGCTGGGCTGGTGAAAACAAGGCAGGCTCCACCTGGTACCCACTGGTGTGAGGAAGGGAAAATGATGTGTGGTCAGCTTGCAGGCCTCCTGGCAATGGCAGGTCAGGCATGGTTTCTTCTCTCACCTCTGCAACAGCTGCAAAACAGAACGACGGATTTTTAGCCTTTTAAATAATGGAGTTTTTCCAGTAGGTTCCCAATCTCTAGGGTCATGATGAGAGAGAAATGGGGTATCCTCAGTGTCCTGTGTGAAACATATTTAACATACATGTCTGGATGTATATTCTCATTCACAAGTTCATTCATCTGTCCACTTACCTTCTAAACAATGTTTAAGAAATATAACTCCCCCCATCAAAAATCTTTCTTTTTTTAATTTTCTTTTTCTTTTTTTTTTTAGAGAGAGAAAGTGTGTGAACACTAGCAGGGGTGGGGGTAGGGGTGGAGGGAAAGGGAGAAAATCTCAAGTAGCCCAACATGGGGCTCCACTTCACAAGCCTGAGATCATGACCTGAGCTGAAATCAAGTCAGAAACTTAATCGACTGAGCCACCCAGGTGCCCCCTTAAAAGTTGTTTTCTTTTTTTTTTTTACTGAGATATAATTGAAATGTTATATTAGTTTCAGATATACAAATAATGATTTGATATTTGTATACATTGCAAAATGATGATCATAATAATCTAGTTAGCTAGTTCACTACCATCACAACACATAGTCACAAAAATTTTTTTCTTGTGATGATAACTTTAAAGACCTACTCTCTTAGGTAGAGAGTATACAATATGGTATTTTTTTCTTACAATACAGTACTGTTAACTATAGTCACCATACTGTACATTACAAGCCAGGACTTACTTATTTTAAAACTGGAAGTTTGCACCTTCGACTACTTTCACCCATTTTTTTTTATTTATGATAGTCACAGAGAGAGAGAGAGAGAGAGAGAGAGAGAGAGGCAGAGACACAGGCAGAGGGAGAAGCAGGCTCCATGCACCAGGAGCCCGACGTGGGATTCGATCCCAGGTCTCCAGGATCGCGCCCTGGGCCAAAGGCAGGCGCCAAACCGCTGCGCCACCCAGGGATCCCAACTTTCACCCATTTTTTAAAATTGTGAGTCATTTGAAGTCCTTCATCCCCAACTCAACAGCATGTCAGGAAGATGACAGCACCTGAGATCACTATTCTCACTGTGTTCTCAGTCACAGACTATGCCACAAATTTGGCCAGTGGCCTTGCAAAGGCTGCTACTGGTTATAAAGACAGGAGTTTACAATTCTTGCACCTCAACATGACCCATCTCTAGGTATGGGGGAAAAAAATCCATCACTCATATCACCAACTACAGAATAACTTGGAGCTTCCAGTAAAATGCTTGCCTGCTGAAATAGACCTGGAAATGTTGATTTCATCTGACCCACAAATATTTCTAAAAGTATTGGCCCACAATAGTTGTACTTCTGGTTTTTTTAATAGTACTTCTGGAGCATACATTCTATGCTGGTTGTTATGTATTCAAGCACGCTGGCCACAAGTGGTTGAGACAGGCAGAGGGAGGGAGGGAGGAGAAACACAGGCCTGGCGTTTTGTGGGTAAGTGACTGGGGGTACCAAGAGGTGCCCATCTCCACTCAACAGCTGTGCCTCTGCCACACTCAGGATGTCACACCCTCACGAGCTCCTGAGTATGTGTGTGCAAGGAGTGGGGGGGGGGGTCTCTGTTTAGGGTTGTGCCAGATATAGCAAATAAGAACACAGGACACCCAGTTAAGCTTGAATTCCAGATGAACAACAAATAATTTTTAGCATAAGTAGTCCACTAAGCACTTATTTGGCCAATGGATATATAAGCAGGAGATTTGAAAGCAGAAGGAAGGATCTGAGAATTTGTTTGCCTGGCTTCCTGCCAAGTCACACTGGGCTGCACATCTTCCTCAATTGAAGGTCATAGCTTCTATTAAGGAGTCTTCTCCATGTGACTCTTTCATGCCAGGTTGGCTCTCAAGGTTGATGCATTTGAGAACTGCCTCCAGGGTGAATGCCAGGTTGGAAAAGAAGATATTTCACTATAAGAAACTAGAGAAAGCTTGCTTCAAGGTCTCTATGGTTGTGGGAGAGCAGGGGCCCTCTGCATACTTTGGGGGAGGCTATGTGGGTCAGCCACAGGCTGGCCATGAGCCCAGCCATCCAGACAGATGAGTGTGCTGTGATGGGAGTGCTCATTTATTCCAGGAAATGGAGGTCAGGGTGACTCTGCAGAGAGGGGCCTCTGCCTCTCCTGTCACCCCCATGCCAGCCAAATCTTATGCCCAAGTGTGGACCTGTGTTCTTAGCAGGGAACGGTGAAGCTCTGCCTGGGTCCCATCCAGTTCCATCATCTTCCTCTGAATCTGGGGATACTTCCTGTGGTTATGAATGCTCTGGTTGTTTTATTTCATGCCTTCAGACCCTCCACAAGAACGCTCTTTTTCTTGAGGTTTCGAAGCACTTAAAATTCACCTTTGCCTCTCAAATCACCTATAGTCCTTATTCATTGACATCCATGGGACTGGAAGTCAGGGGTATGTCCAGGTAACTTTGTTTTTCTTTAAATATAAGGCAAATAAGTGGAGTGGGAGAAGCAAATAATTCTTTGGTTTCTTTAATTTACTTAACGACATTTAAAATGCCAAATTATAAAGGTAACCCAAGTTGGTAGTGGAAAATTCAAATATTTATAGAAGCACAGGAAATATAAAATGGAAACCTGTTTTGTAACCTGAACTCTGCAAAATAACCTTTGATTACAGTTGGGTATGATCTTCAGTTTTCGGCGAGCCAAGCTGCTGACTGAAGAAACTAAAGGCAAGGCCACCCACTCAGATGATGTCAGGAGCAGCAAACCCACCCTATAATCACCATGGATGGCTGTAAAGATAGCTAAACTCCGCGAGTTGAACTGCCAGGGGTTGGCACAATGATTCATTTCCCAATGAATATTTACACAGCACCTCCTGGGTCTAAGATTTGCTGTGATAGTCTGATGGGGTACAGAAAGGCACTTGCCCCAGAAAAGGAGCAGCAGAGAGTCCCAGGAGTTAAAGGGGGAAATGGAACACAGCTCTTTGGAGTGGGGGGCTGTACTGACAGGGTCCGGGAGGCCTGCCCTGGTCCCTCCCCCCTCAACTACTTAGCCCTCCTACATTAGGTGCTGGGGCCTTCCCTTTTGTAACATCTTCTGTGATTCCTCATTCAGTTCTTTCTCTTCTATTGGATCGAGAGTCCCAAGAGGTCTCGCATCCACACCACAGCCAGTTCATAGAAGACGCTCAAAATAAGTGTGTGAATGAATAAGTAAAGGCATGAATTAGAGGAGGGGCGTGTGGACAAGGGTTTCAAGGAGCAGGGACGGTGGGCCCTAGTAGATAAATAATAAATAATAATAATAATAATAAAAGAGAAAGAGGAGGCCCTAATAGTTTTGGAACATGAATGTAGCTGTAGGGCAGCGCTCCTGTGCTAGGACCAAAGTGACAGTGCAAGTGGATACAGGCTGACAGCGGAGAGCCCTGAATCCTGGTTGAGACAGCAGGGATTCCTGGAAGGTTTCTGAGCACGGGAGGGAGGAGATCAGAGCCATACTTGACACCCCACCCCCACCCCCGCACTGACATCCGGCTGAGCCAGAGCAAGATGAGCAGGAAGGAGGAGGCCAGGAGGTGGGAAACCGCCAGGAAGATAGCAGAGACCTAACCAGCAGAGTGACTAGGAAGCAGGACGCATGGGGGAGAGGCGAGGGGCTGACCTCGCCATCGTCATGGTCCCATGGCAGAAAGGTTGATCTGACACGAAGTATTTAGGAAAGATGTAGTCTCAGAACACAGGAAAGTTCTCCAGAGTGGTCACAATTCTGGTTGTTGCTAAAACACAGGCCAGGAGGCTGCTTCCAGTTCAGTTTTCTTGCAGGAAAAGTGGGGATGGCAATTATGGTGCCCCCATAGGGTTGCCGTTAGCAAGAAAGGACATATTACCATGTCTGGATCAGTAACTGCTGGCTATTCATTCTTTCTTCTTTCTTTCTCTCTTTCTTTCCTTCTCTCTCTCTCTCTCTTTTTGGTAAGATTTTACCCATCCATTTATTTGAGAGAGAGAGAGGAGAGCACAAGTGGGGGAGGAGCAGAGGCAGAGGGAGAAGCAGACTCTCCGCTGAGAAGGAAGCCCAACATGGGGCTCGATCCCAGGACCCCGAGATGACGACCTGAACCAAAAGCAAGAGTCAGACACTCAACAGACTGAGCCACCCAGATGCCCCTGTTTCTTAATTATTTTCTCATTTTACTGTGAATCAGTAAAAACCTGTCACAGTCTAATACCTGAGAGCAGCTGATTTATGAGGGTTGATACCAAGGGCTGAATAACTCATGGATGGTGAGGCCGGTGAGGTTCCCACTGCACAAGTGTGGTGGGGGTTGAGGGGGATGGACTGCCATTCATACAGGAGTCCATGTAGACAGTGCTTCAGAATTCTACAGTGCATACAAGGGGTCCTGAGTGATTATGGACAATGTGAAAAAAGGCAAAATAAAAACCAATCCCAGGTTTGGACCCCAGGGCCTAGGCAATGACCATTCTGATATTACATTTTAAGCTGCTATCTTTTCACTGTTTGACTACTTCCATGTACAATGGAAACCCCTCCCCCTGTTTTTCCTTGCAGAAGTGGACGGCTTTAAAAATATTTGGGGGGAGTTATGGCAGGAGGAGTAGACCAGGCCAACAAGGGTTGCTTGTACAACAAACCTTCTCGTTCTCCCTAACATGCTAGAACTCATCTTTATGATGGCAAAAGGCTTGTTGGATGGAGAAACACTGGAGACAATGTTCAATCAGTGTGAGAGATGTATTAAAGCTGAGGGAGACTAAATGGGAATTTAATCCCCTCTATACAGCACACCCAGATAAGAGGGTTGCTTCTGGCTGTAATTTGGGTGGAATTCACAAGAAACTTGACCCTCCCCTTTGCTCCTTTCAAGGTTGTTTCCTTCTGTGGAGTGGATAAGCCACTAAAGTGAGAAGTCAAACCTTAAACAAGTAACTGCTACTAAGCAGCCTTGGATAAATGGCCTCCCACCCAGGTGGGAGAGTAGCTGTCCAGCTGT